TGCCGCCCACTTAATCCCTGTCTATGGTACTACAACGCTTCCCAAAGATATCAAATACTACCATTCTTACGATGTATTCCGCGCCTACTACGTTAACAAATTTGCTGATCATCACGCATTTTCCATAGCTTACTAGTAGTTTGATTATTTCTGACTACTTTACTATGCTTTGTCCGTAATTTTGCACTTTTTTTACTTGCGAGCTCTTAATCTGTTTGAGTGTACACTTCGTGAGATGCTCTACTTAAGTAAAGAACCAGGCCTACATCTTAGCTTTCTTAATCTACTTCGACATGAATCTAAGGGTGCTAAGTGATGTTAAGGACGGTTAAGCGTTTTGTAGTTTTGCTGATGCAGGAACGGAGGACCGGGATAAAGGTGATCGCCTGCAGCGGTGGGTGGAAGAAGTTAGCCTCGCCGACTGCGACGACATATCGCTCTCCTTGCCCTCGCCCTCACCCTCACCCTCATCGTCTCAGTACTAAATTCCAGAGTTTTACCCGGAGCCCTAGTTGGCGCAAACTTGCAGGGCCTGGTCGGTTTTGTTGAAGCAACCACATCCATTTGGGTGTGTTATATGTACCACGGAACCTTGCATACATGGTGAGATGGCCGAGCGGTCTAAGGCGCCAGACTAAGGTTATGTAATCATCTCGATTACAGCATCATCTGGTCCGAAAGGGCGTGGGTTCGAATCCCACTCTCATCACATCTTTTTGGTGCTGCTGATTTTTGCAAGCCAACTGGGGACGGGTGTTGTGACTTCGTAATCTCCAGTTGCCGTGTTACTTTTTGGCATGGAATCAAGGAAGCGTGACCTGAGACTCTAGAGGAGTTTTGTTCCGTGTATATCAATCGTCTTTCTTGCGCGCATACTGCTGTGCGCATCCATACTGTCACTAAATGCCAGCCCGCCATTGCCTAAAATCGCTTTACCACCTAATTGAAAACTGTACGGGCGATATCACTGGGGGCTATCATGATCTTGGTCAAGCGCCACAACCACGGCCAGATGTTGATCGGGTAACCACATACACCGAGCCTCACTGCGGAAGTATGGATCGCTGGTCACCCGGTGAAGTTGAAAGATGCCTGTGGGAGATCCAGCAGCGGGCATGGATCCTTCAAAAAGCATCAAGAACGTCGCAATGCCCCAGGCGGGCACATCAATCGAGCCTTGCCTCAGCTTCGCGTCCGTTGTCGCGCCCTCTGTATTCGCCAAATGACTGGTACTGCAGTTCGCAGCGACGTCTTCCTGGTCCAAGCAAGACGAGTAGAACTGTCTACCACCCGCAGCCAGCGTCACCTTATGTGAAGTGATAGGTAACGCTATGTCGGCGCCGTTGCGTTCAACATTTGCCATGGTGATCTGGTTGGACTGAAGCTGCTGCGTGGGTTGCCAGGTGAACGGCCCAGGTGGGCGAGGTAAGCCAGATCGTTCGTAAGCATCGTGCCAGACAGCTCTGTGTTGCGTCCCTTGGAACAGCCTCAGGGACACCGGTTGACATGTTGTTTTACGGTTGAGGTGACCGCTTACCTCACGAGGATGGATAATGTCCACCCTTGTCTACCACCATCATGTCTGGCAGCCAAAAATTGCACAAAGCCAGAAAATGACCTCACATTCACGTCGGCGCTGGTGGCGGTAGGTCGTTGTTACGCCTCGCTGTGATAAGCGCGCAGACAAAGCCCCTTCTGGTGGTCCTAGTGCTGATCATGATGGCAATGATGCTGACTAGCGCGTCCACTATATAGCGAGTACATGTCAATGACAGGGCCCTAGCTCCTCACCCATGGCAATCATCACGGAAGATGCTGGTCCCCCAGCTCGAACGGGCCACCAAGCTTTGGACGCTGGCAACGGCCAACATGCAGACGGTGGACAGCCAGGAATCGGGGCGGACATTCAGTAAGAGAAATGCGCATGTTCTCTCCTTGTGCTCATATTTTCTTCCAGGTCACACCAGCTCCTCCAGCAAATACTCCAAACCCTCAAAGAATCCTCGATCGCCCAACAGAGCGGGAACGACACTAAGTCTCGTTTCTGGGCGACGTACAAACGCGAGGCAGAAGATTATGACTCGGAATTCCTTGAGAAGTACAAGGACGACATGGACATCGTCCTGATTTTTGTGAGCGTTCTACCAGTTGCCTCCTTGAGACTGTTTCTTAAACCCGTTTTCAGTCTGGTCTCTTTTCCGCCGTTAGCACGGCCTTCATCACTTCTAATACTATGCAGTCAAGCCTCGGCCCCGATCTGACTGTTACTACAAATGCCCTCTTGATGCAGTTGGTCCGCACTGCCAACGCCACCGCCTTTCCTGGCCAGAACCTCGATCCTCCCGCGTGGGACGGCGTAGGTTCGACAGTGATCTGGATACAGTCCCTCATATACGCCAGTCTTTCTGCAAGCCTTCTCGCTGCGTTGGGCGCTGTGCTAGGCAAACAGTGGTTGGGCCATTACCGCCGGCGCGGAATTGGGACAGTCGATGAGCGCGCCATGCGCCGACAGCAGAAGCTCAATAGGCTCGAAGCATGGCATTTCCACACCGTGCTAGAAGCGCTTCCCGTTTTATTGCAGATTTCGCTCCTTCTGTTCGGTGTCGCCCTTTCCGCGTTTGTGTGGACTCAGCAGTCGACTGTTGGCGCTGTTGTGATCGGAATCACGGCCTTCGGCATCCTCTTATATATTTCGATTACCGTTGCATCATTAATCTCGCCCGATTGCCCCTTCCAAACCCCTCCATCAACAATCATTACAACTATTCGAGAAGCATTCCGGAGACCTCTGCTTCATTACTTCCGTGATGAAGCAAGGAACGCCTGGGGAAAGGGAGAGACTGTAGCCGCCATCGTCTTGCTACCCGCTTTCTTTGCGCACCAATATTTTCGACGCTTTCGACGCTTTCTAGTGGCCCGTCGACCCGTTTTTCGGGTTGGGCCCTTCTGGAAAGCGGTAACACATTGGAGAGCACCAGCTGATTTCGGTTTAACGAACTTAGAATCCTCGGCAACATCAGTGCCACCCCCACAGACTCTTTTGAAGCTGGGGATTCGTCTCCGTTCCGCTGGTAAACTCGAAGCCCCGGCAATAGTATGGCTTATTGAAACATCCACCGACCCGGAGGTCATCGCGACTGCAGCCAGGATGGTACCCGACGTAGAGTGGCCGGTCGAGCTCGATGTTTCGCCTGCGTATCTGCAGCTGCGTAACACCTTCATGGGGTGCTTCGTGTCCGTTACCAACACCTCCGAGGAATGGCAGCTTGTGCCCTTGGGACAAGAACGAGCGCTAGCTTGCGGTAAAGCTCTAGTGCACCTGTGCTGCAATAGGTTGTACCTCGAACCCACATTAAGAAGTGGATCCTGGCATCCCCGTCTAGGTTCCCTCTTTGCTTGCCTCCAGCGCAACTGCTCCGACCAGAACGCAGCAGTTGTCTGCGACATAGGTGTTTTTCTATTCAGTTTCCAAGATAGAAAATTCCCCCGAGTTCCGGATACCTGTCGCACATGGGTCTTGCATCTCTTGCCGCACCTGCTGTCCTATCTAGCTTGGGATACCTCGGTGAGAGAAAGGGCCGTCGAGGTGGCTATAGGGCTGGTTACACGCCCTCTCCCGCCCCGGAAGATTCTTGCCGACTGCTTACTGTCTGCAGCTATTATGATGGGGATAGATGTGGATACGACGGGGCTGGTGTGGATCGATAAAGGGTCAGTTTACAGGTTAACTATTGGACTGGGTTATTAAATCAGTTCTCTGTTCGCAGTCCGGCGGCTGGGGTGCTACTTAGACGAACCCTGCAGACTCTACCAACGGCACACCGGATCACTGAAGCACGCATCAACGTCAAATCTCACTCGATGAGGCTTCTTCAGCCTCTGTCCCTTTGCTTCGATGCGGGGATAAACCCTGATTTCGGTGCATGTACATCGAGACAGTGCGGCTGTGAGGTGATGGAATGGAGTTGGCACACTTGCCAGTCGATAGTGGGAAAGTTATGGTCCACTAGTAAGCTGAGTCATTCCGATAAAGCCACGTTGAAGGAGGAGCGATCGGAAATGTGGGGAGCGGCTCGCGCGGCTCTCCACATCAGTGCCAGTGTGGCATGCTGTGGTCGTGACGACCTCGGCTATACGTGGACTAGGTGGCGCCCGTCCTATGGTGGTCATCGCGGACGGCCAGTCATGAATGGCCCTGACTGGGCCATTCGCTTCCTGAACGAACACTACGACGCGCATGATCCCATTGCGGTCGCCGATACATTCACCATGCTTTCTCAGTCCCGTGACATACACCAATGGGCGGATTCCCCCGCATTCGTTGGCGCTATCATTCATGCGATGGAGGCAGAGCAGCCCACCCAGGTTCGCCACACTGCTCTGCGCACGGCTTGGGAGATCAGAAATGCGCCAGGGTTCCCGAGAGACGCGATACGAGGCTTGTTACCTGACTTCATCGCCGCCCTTCACTCCGCTGTTACGACCAACCTGGGTCCTCCAGACAATACTACCATTACAGATTTTGCCGACAGGTTCACTGACGAAGACCGGGATCTCTGTTACCTTCAAATCATTTACACCCTCACTCAGAACTCTGACGGTGTCCATGACGATCAACTCCGTGAGGCTGGGCATTTCAACAGATGTCTTGTTGTTGCCAAACACACCAGGGACAAATTCGACATACTATCAGTATATCTCATTGCGATCGTGGAAACACTTGAAGCTCGCGGCATCAATCGCGGTTTCCTTGATGCCTTTGATCCAGACTTGCGTTCAAGACATCACACATCCGCTTGGGTTAGGTTGTCTTGCTTACCTGTGCACAAAATTCAAGAACATGAACAGGCTTTGCCCGCCATCATAGCATCCCTACATAGATGCCGGGGGGCCAATGCAAATGCGGTTCCAAGGGATTGGGTCCAGGAGGTACACAGCAAACTTCGGGGGAACAAGCCGGATGCTCCGGTGATTGGCCTCCTGGCGGAACTTTTGGCGTCTTGGGCAAAGGATCAGGTGTACTAGGGACGATTTCAATGGCGATGGCAAAGTTGACAAGGGAGACCACCCGCAGCAGACCTACCCGCCTCTAAATTCGACCTTCCTGCATTCATCCAGCACATTGCAGCACACATGGTGGCGGCCCAGGCTGCACACTTCACGAGCCCTACCAGATGTACGACAAGTCCCCGGAGGTCGCGCCAGAGCACGTTCGGTTCCCTCATCCATGCCTTGCCACTCAATCCTGCGGACAAGACCCTAAGCCTACCACCAACGATCACGATGCGTCCCGCATCGATGCCGGTGGCACTGGCAGCAAAGCTGGTGAGAAGCACCGCTGCGCGAGCACAGATGAGCCAGCGTCACCCACATCTCTGGCCAACGAGAAGCACAGCTCGGCGTCGTCTGAGGGTCACGCCGAAGCAGGCCCCGAGTTGGAATGGGCTGCCGATGCTATAGGCTTGAGTCGTAAAGCTGGTGTTGTACATGCTGGTTTTTTTGTCATGGAGTCATAGCTATATAGACCTTGACGCAAGGAAGCGTGGCCTTGGAGGGCTTGGGCTCATCGTCTTTCTTGCGTGCATACAGGTGTACACTACTGCTGTGTGCGTGCATACTGCCACAAATCTGTCAACCCATCATCACCTAGAATTTCTTGACCGCCTTGCAAACTGTACAAGCAATATCACTGACTGGGCTAGCACTGTC